AAAGCAAAGTAAGACAGAGGAAAACTTGATTTTTGCGTTTGCGTGTGGGTGTGGGTGTGGGTGTGGGTGTGGGTGTGGGTGTGGGTCGGTGTGGGTCGGTGTGGGTGTGGGTGCGGGTGTGGATGGGTGTGGGTATGGGTGGATGGGTGTGGGTGTGGGTGGGTGTGGGTGTGGGTGTGGTTCTTCTCTTTCCTTTCAGCCACACATACCCACACCCACAGTCACAGTCACAGCCACACCCACTCACACCCACACCCGCACCCATCCACGCCCACACCCACACACTGAAAAAAATGGTCACACTACCGAATCTCAGGGGGTTTCGTAGACAAAAAAGGACTTCGGGAAGGAAAAAAGGGTTTTATACATTGTACGAAACCCTTTTAAGGTTTCGAGTTTTGCAACGAATTCCGAACCTTTTTAGGTTTCGCACCAAACCCTAAAAAACCCTACCGAAGCTTTAAAAAACACTTTTCGATCGGTGACAATCATTTTGAAGAGGTCAAAGGTTTTTACGAAACCCCTTCGAGGGTTAAGAATTCGTTGCAAAAAAGGTTCGATATGATACTTTTTTTTTTCAGTGCACCCACACGTACCGCTGCATCCCACACCCCCACCCACACGCAAACGCAAAAATCAAGTTTTCCTCTGTCTTACTTTGCTTTTCTTCAAGTTTCAAGGGCATTCATATGCCTTATCTGTCTTTACTTCATTTACTCATATTGCACTTATAAGCATAGAAAACTAAAACGAGATAAATTGGATTTCGGGCGGAACTACGTTAGATTGGTTTTGTTAATATCAAGATAATATAAAGTATTGATGTGAAATAATGATTGACATATAAATGAATCTTAGAATTGATGTAAATCTTTGATATTATTACGGAAAACTATATTTTTGGTTTAAACTGAAATTTTAGTTAATACATCAAAGTTTTCAAGATGATTATCTTGCACAAAGCGCTTCATTTTCACATATCATTGCTATAAATCAACATTTTTAGAAAAATAGTTATATGTTTGGACAGTGTGCGGAATTTTCTACTACCATATATATGTACATTTTGAATTGCGTTAGTTTGTTAAAAAAATTCAAGCATAGTTGAGGCACCCTCATCGTCAGATTGCTTGGAAATACATTTTTTGTTCCGTTTTCGTTCATTTTTTCGAATATAGAGGGGTCCACAAGAAATTTAAACTTATTCTGATCTAATTTTCACTTTACAGCTATAAACAATTTTTATCTCTTCAGTTTCATTAGTCATCTTATTCCCTTTATCTCCTTTATTCCCTTTAGTACCTCTACTCATTTTACTCCATTTAATTTCTTTACTTCCTTTGGTTTGTTTACTTCCTACATTTATCTTATTTCCTTTGATCTCTTTACTTCCTACACTTATCTTATTCTCTTTGTTCTCTTTACTTCTTTTACTCTCTTTAATACCTTCACTCATTTTATTTCCTTCAGTCATATGGCATTTTACTTATTGTAGTCCCTTTTGTCATTTTACAGTTATGGAAAATGTACAAGACGAAAAAGCATTGAAAAGACTAAAAGGATTAGAGGAACTAAGAGGTAAAGACTGTCTATAGCTGTAAAGAAAAAGTTAGACCTGGATAACTTCAATTTCTTGTGGCCTTATGCAAATATATCTTGAACATAGGAACAAATTATTACAAAAGTAAGTATATATTCTGAAAGCACATGGAATTCTCTATCATCTTGTACTTTTACCACACTTGACTTGCGATTATTTGATGAAAAATATTTCGAGTATTATGAATGTACCTACACATCACGTTCCTAGATCAGCTGCTGTTGAGAATTTCAGCGATATCTTTGTGCAAAGTGGTTCATCCAACATCAAATACTTCCAACAGCATTAAGATCAAGGTTGATAGGTGGTTCATTATCCATACATTTTATTCGATTACTCAATAACCACTTATGGGCTGCTGTTGAATTCATATTTAGTAACCTAGAATGAGGGCATATTAACAATACTCGAAATATTTATCAAATAATTGCAAGTCAAGACTGATAAAAGTACAAGGTGATAAAAAATTGCACGCGCTCTCAGAATATACACTTATTTTTGTAATACCATGTTCCTATATTCAAAATATATTTGAAAGAAATGAACGAAAAAGGAATAAAAAATACATTTTCGAGAAATCTGACGATGAGGCTGTCTTCTCTATCCCTGAACTTCCTTTTAGCAAATAAGTGCAATTCAAAAAATTATAATTCTCATACGTTTGTATTAAAAAACTAAAAATATAAGAATTACTATGTTGATTGATATATGTCTGTGTCGTAATTATAATATTATCGCTTTAGTGTTCGTTGAATTATTTTAGATCATCTTTGAATTACAACTATGGAAGCTCAATTCAGTGCTGGGACATTAAAACAGCTCAAGTATGAATTATCTCATACAATACAACTTTTCTCGATTTATGCAAGAAATAATTCATTACTATATCTGTTTTTCTAGTTTATTTACAGATTCACAAATATCTCAATGTCGTTCAAAGAGAATTTATATATTGCTTGGTATTCTGGTCGGAATCTTTGCTATCTCGACAGCTGTATCGACTGTCATATTGGCTATGAAGGACAGCAAAAAAACCGGAACAATTGGTATCATTCTTTGTTATTTTCTACCGAGAAAAACTTTATCTATATTTTAGCAAACCATGAATTATGTGTAACTCCATACTGCGTTAAAGCAGGTCTGTACCTTTGAAAGATTTCATTGTTCATAAGTTAATATTGTAGCGAATTATTTGATTGAAAGCATCGATGAAACAGTCGAACCATGTGAAGATTTTTATCATTTTGCTTGTGGAACATGGATTAAAAAAACTCGAATACCGGATGATGGTAAACGAAAAAAAAATAAAATTCGATAACAAGTTTTCGAAAAATTCTTTTTAGCTGGTGCAGCAAACACATTTAGTTTATTACGAACTCAATTAGATTACAATATTGTTGGTATGATTTAATCCTTAAATTTTTTGATATGAAGTTTGTTTATATACAGATATATTGACACCATCACCTACTAATGATTCAACTGAGCCAAAAGCTATAATCAATGCTCGAGTTTTATATCATTCATGTATTAATGAAGAAAATATTGAAAAAGAAGGAATTGATACAATTCTTTCGTTAATCAATAAAGAATTTGGTGGTTGGCCTATTTTACAAGGATCATCATGGAATAATTCTAATTTTAATCTTTTAAATCTTTTACTAAAATTACGCCAATATAGTACTAATATCATATTTAGTGTTAGTACATTGATTGATGATAAACATTCGACAAAATATGATACTGTTGTAAGTAAAGAAGATTTAAAATATCATATTCTAATTATCATCATAGATTGGTCAAAGTGGTCTTGGCTTAAGTGAACCAATATATTATTTCTCTCAACCAAAATTGGCTAATCGTTATCAACGACTTATCACTTATGTAGCTAGTGGATTGTCTAATGATACATCAACGATGGTACAAGATGCAAAAGATATATTTGAATTTGAAAAACAAATTGCAATAATTCAATATAAAAATCAAATTGAAAAAGTAATTCAACTAATTCTCATATACATATATATTTATTCTATTTTATATAGTATTATTGGGCAACAACTGATCCACAAAGAGTACTCTATATACCAATTGTTACCACTGTTGGCAATCTTTCGCGCTTATTAAATACCACAGTCAGTTTGCTTTAATTTTTCGCTTCTATGGCTTTTTTTTGTTATATTTTCGTTGAATAGTTTAATTTCACAAATTATCTACATTCAGCTTTCTCATGGGCTGGTATAGATCTCCTCGATAATGATATTGTTACTATAGATACACTTGATTATTTGTATCAGATTTCATTAATTATTGATCAAACTTCATCACGTACATTACAAAATTATGTTATATGGCTTTTTATATGGAATCAAATTGATAATATGCCAAAACGATTTCGAAGTATCTATCAAAGAAATTTTTTTTCATATACAGTAGTGTGAAAAATTATAGAATCACTTGTTCGAGTCCCACTGTTCGCTCGTTCTCTGTCAATTTAGACTTTCGAGAGAAGCACAGTCTATGTGATGACATATGTTCAAATATGCTCTATCCGACTATGAAATTGGATTCTTCCATGCTAATATCAAATTTGAGAAAACAAATATTTGCTGAAATTGGTCAATTTTTGTCAATGAAAAATTATAGAATCACTCTCGTAGTTTTTGCATCAAGCTTACTTTATTTTCGCGTGAAAGTTACATATGTAGAGAGAGAGAGAGAAATTCGTATTGAATATTTTTATTAAAAAATATGTGAAAAACTGTGTCGTGCAATTCCTGTGGGATTAAAATGTGACACACAATATACCCATTATTGCTTATTCCCTAAAAACTCGTCTTTTTATGTATACCTGAGTATGCGCTCCGCATTATTCCTTACTTTAGAGTATAGAACTTCAAGAAGGAAATACTCCATAGATATTTTAACTAAACTTGAATTATACATGACCTCTGATAGTATCCTGAAGCCGTCTGTCACAGTATGTGGTAGTCTCCAGACCGCATTTCTCACCCCTGTGATGGTTCCGAGAACCTGTCGGTCACGGTCTGTGGGGGAGGAGGGCCCAAATTTCTACTCCTATACAGTTCAACACTCTTTTTTTTGATCGTGTTTCACAAAATTGTTTATATTTGAATATAAAATGATATTTTCCTGATCAAGTGAAAATGACCGGAAAATATCATCTGAGCTGAGTATTTTGACTAGAACATTTGAAATAGACATAGAAGATATTTCTTGATACTGAAATCTAACAGAAGAAACTTTTTGCTTTAAAACGAGGCGTTCGCGAGTTTCATGCATCAGTTCATTGCGGAAATACATACGGTATCAAAATTGATACTGCTTTCACTCAATAAGTCAAATCCATTCTGTATCTGTTTTTCATCAAAATAAATAGCAGCTATTTTTAAAGCATTTTACGGTGTGAATGCATTTGAATGCTGCGGATGAAGCGCGTGTGTAAACAAGAGAAAAAAATGCGTTGGAAGATGCTTGTTTTTATAATGAATTAAAAAATACGGTAAATGGCAAATTCTTTGCATTTACGAAATATACCTGTCGTGTTATGATACTGTATGTATTTTGTGAAATGAACTGACGCATGAAGTTCGCGAACACTGCATTTCAAAGCAAAAAATGTCTGCTATTCGATTTCAGTGTCAAAAAGATATTTTCTGTGTCTATTTCAAATATTCTAGCCAAAATACTCAGCTCAGATGATGTTTTCCAGTCATTTTGACTTGATCAGGAAAATCTCATTTTATATTCAAATAAAAACAATTTCTCATACTTTTTTTAATGAAAATATTCAGCATAAATTTCTCTCTCTGTATATGCGACTGTCAAGCAAAACTAAATTAACCTTGATTCGAAAACTATGGGAGTGATTTTATAATTTTTCATTGACAAATATCGACCAATTTCAGTAAATATTTGTTTTCTCAAATTTAGTATTAGCATTGAAGAATCTGATTTCATAGTTGGATAGAGCATATTCGAACATATGTCATCACATAGACTGCTTCTCTCGGAGGTCTAAACTGGCAGAGAACAAGCAAACAATTGGGCTCGAACAAGTGATTTTATAATTTTTCACACTACTGTAGTTGGTGATACAATCACTAAAACAACACGTACGATAACATGTGGAAAATATGTTAATCAGAACATGGGATTTGCTGTTTCAAAAGTTTATATAAAAAAATATTTTGATTATAATGCTCGAAATCAAGTAAAATCAAATCTCTTGATTAGATTTTCTCATTCTATATTTTCTTTAAAGTCATTGGAAATGATTAGAAATATTCGAAAAGCATGGATTGATATGTTGAATCAATCTACATGGATGGATGATATGTCAAAAAGTAAAGCAATTGAAAAAGTAAGACGCACAATCAAGAAACTAAATTGAATGATATTGAAAAATTGATAGGCTGAAGCTATTGATGAGAAAATTGGATATCCAGATTATTTAGCCAGTGATAATGTAACACAACTTGAAACTGAATATGCTGAGGTAGATAATATCTCGAAAATTTATTTGCAACAATTAGATAGTTAAACCAATCTCATTTTTTTACTTTCTAGTATATCTTCAATTCATCTCATATAAATAATGTTTTAAAACTATTGCAAATAAAAGCAAAAGAAGAATTTCAAAATTTTCGAAAACCTATTGATCATAAAGTATGGGGTTCTACCCCACCAACTGATATTAATGCGTATTATTCACTATCAAAAAATCAAATTAGTATGTTTATTTTCTCTTTTCTCGAATTATATCTTCTTTGGGTTGTTTTTACTATATTTAGCTTTTCCGGCTGGTATTCTCCAAATGCCATTCTTTGATAAAGATGCACCAAAGTAACATTGATTATTTATTGTATATATTTTGCATTATATTGAAATCTTTTAGATATCTTAATTATGGTGGTAAGCTTTATTTTCACTTTTAAGTTTTTGATTATACCGTTTAATATCAATGAGAATGTTGCAAAGTTAGATGATCATTTGTTATTTAGGTATAGGGGCTATCATTGGACATGAGATTACTCATGGATTTGATAATAATGGTTGGCAATTTGATAAAGATGGAAATCAAATTCCATGGTGGACTAATGAAACAGAAGAACAGTTTATTCAACGTAAAACATGTATTATTGATCAATATAATAATTACACTGTATGTAAGATTAATATTAAAATTACATTCTTTTTAGTTTACATTTGTTTATTTTGATATTTTATTCTATAGGAAGATGGCGATAAAACACAAGGTGAAGATATTGCTGATAATGGTGGATTACGAAAAGCTTTTTTTGTTCGTAGATTAAATGATATAACTATGGAAAGATATATTTCTATTCTATAGGCTTATCAAAAATGGGCAAAAGATAATCCAAATGTCGATAAAAGATTACCAGGTCTTTCAAAATATTCTCCTGAACAAATGTTTTTTATAAATTATGCTCATTCATGGTGTTCAAAAATGACTGATTTATCTGCAGTTAGTCGTGCTTCATCAAATGTTCATTCGTTAGAACAGTTTCGGTAAATAGTTTTTCAACAATTCATGATCTAATTTGATTGGTTTTTTTAGAGTGCTTGGTCCAACATCGAATTTTGCTGAATTTGATCGAGTATTTAATTGTAAACCAGGTCAAGGAAATAGTCGAGTGAATAAATGTATTGTTTGGTAGTGAAAATGTTCTATTTTTAAAATTGATTATATTTTTCTATATTATTCATGAATAAAAAACATCATTCACAATCAAGGATACTAAGATATCAGAAGCAGAGATGTACATCGCGGCTGAAAACCTGCCGCTGCCGCGCCGCGATGGCTTATAAGAGACGGTCCACGACTCCATCGAACATGGTCATACTCTCGAAAAATTTGACCCCTATATTTTATGATTGGAAATGAAAGAGCAAAGTGAGAAACCTATAAATCCAAAATTTTAGCTCATTCTGACTTACGGATAAAAAGTTATGAAGTACAAACTGAAAGCACCCTCAACAGGTTTTGAAAAAAAAATTTTTTTTTTTGAAAAATTTGGTAAGTCAGTATTTGGTCATTTTTTCAACAGTGAATTCTCACAATTCTTTTGAATAGTATACCATCTGATAGAGCGAATTTCGCTCTACAAAACTGCATATGTCATATTCTCCTCATCTCCCATTTTATAGGTACAACAATCGCGAAATTAGATCAACCCTACTGCTTTTCGCATTTTTGTCTTGTTCTGCTTTTCATTGCAAGCTATATTTCTATGCTAATTCTAATGAGCCCAGACATATTTTTATGGTTTTGGATAGAGCAAAGAAAGAGTTATCAAATGAATATTAAATGATTGAAATCAAAGTAGCACACGGTGTCCATCCAAGCCGCAAAAGATATTCGACTACTATCTTGAAAACCGTAGTTTTCATTATTTTTCTGCACCATTTATGTATATGTTAGCTCTGACTTTTCTTCCAACTAGGAATCGAATTGAGATTTATTTTTCATCATTGAAAAACTCATTTGATAGGTTATTCAAACATTTTGAAAGTCACTTATATCATATGGATTAGTGCTCCTTTTTTTCGGAATATGTGCCGTACAATAGATACTTCATATTCAATTCATAGCTTGCTAAAGGAAACCAATTGCGTTTGTAAGACGTTCTCAAATGCTATATAATTTACTAATTTGCTTTATTTTGTTTTGAATTGCTTTCAACGAATGAACTCTAAAAACTCGAATACTATTATACATTCATTTGGTCAATAGATCATAAATTAAATTTTGATGAAAACCTATTTTATCTACTGTTTAATCTTGTACTAGCAAAGTCGCAACAATTATTTTATCTGCAGCTTATTTTACTCAATTTCTGGCTACATTCATAGCTATTATTTCAATTCATCATAAACTTGCTCACATTATTCACCCAGGGAAAAAATTCAGGATTAATATCGATTAAAATCACAAAATTCTGTGGTCATAATCGAAATCATATTCGATTATAATCCGATTGATAATCAACTCTAATCAATTAGAAAGCAGTATTAATCGATTGATATTGATTGAAAAAGGGATTTTAATCGATTATAATTTCGATTTTGGAGCAAAAACGTCGAGCTCCAAAGATGGATTATAATCGATGAAAAGTTCCATTATTTAACGAAATAATCTGATTCGAGATTATGATTATAATCATTTATAGTTTTGATTTTGGTGGAAAAAAATCGTGTTAGAGATTTCGATTAAAATCGATTATAATCTCGATTATTTTACATCATAATCTGGTTTGAAACTTCAATTGTCAACAATTATAACCGAGCAGAAAGATTTTTATCAATCACAATATTCGTTTGTCGCGAATTACTCTCTCCCCTTCCATGCAGCAAACTCATGAAAGGAATCGTTGCTTGTTCGATTTAGTTTCGAATTTCATAAATACTTCTATGATGATTTCGCTTCGTCTCTTACGTTCAACTGATTATCAATCCAGCTCTCAAAAGCTAGGCTCAGGATAGAATTTGAGAAATCTAAATTGAATAGCCTTCGCCTGTTGCCTCGTTGTTTACTTCTCCATCAT